ATATTTGTGGATACACGCAAATGAATACACACTTGAACTATAAAATTGTTGGTCCAAACAAAATATTTATTGAAATGAGAAAAATATAAATATAGTAAACGTATTACTCCGTACTTTTGAATGGTGTGATCCGATATTATTCAGTCTCAAAATCTGAACCGGTCTCGTACCCGTTTGGGATAAAAATGAATATAATCATTTAAATACATGATATTCAATTTAGTTTAATTACAGGCCAAATTTGGTACGAGTTCGGTTGGGCTTTTATGCTGAAGTGGATCAAAGTAGCATTTGACCAGCAAATCCGGGTCATCTTAATTAAATGGCTCGAAATCTAAGGCTAGGATCGGTCCAGTCCGGGTCGATTGGGTTTATGCTAAACCCGAAAATTACCCGTAAGGTCTCGGATTATGAAAATTAAGGACCAGAACAAAGCTCATTATATTCGATCCGAGTCGGGTTTTTGGTAGCCCGGGTTTGGGTTGAGCCGGTTAAACCCCAACGTGAAATCATTTCATTTTTCTTTTAAATTTTAAAACCTATTCTCGAATAGAATTATTCAAAAATATAAACTACAATTAATAACACAAATATTATTCTCCAAAATCACCAACAATTCAAACCGAAAAAAAAAATTATCTTAAAAATTTGTTTAAGATGAATATAAACAAGTAATACAGATTATATATAGGTTTTTTTAAAAAATTACTAAATAAAATTTGTGGATAAAAATGTGACTAAAGTTACTATAAATATATTTTCATGATCATTACAGTATACAAAATTGAACATATTTGTAGTCACTAAAAGTACTAAGTCATTTTTTCATCCACCGTGATTATAATTAATCATATATTAGGAATTATTTATAAATTAGATTTCTATGGAGGTGATCAGCAAGCATGAAAGCAAAGGTGTTGTTAGGAATTTAACTCACAAACACGAAGAACAATTAAAGAACACACGAAATTTGGTAACCCAGTTTGCCACAGAGGACTACGTCTGGGGGGGCGCTACCAAGCCAGGAATGTTATTAATATTTTCTGGATGCAGATTATAAGAGAGGAGAGTGGTATTTATAGAGATGCAGTGTCTTGTTCCCAAAGCAACATAACCCCTAATTAAATTAGGATGTGTTTCCAAAAATAAATTAAGAAACGTGTTTCCAAGAATAAATTAAGAAACTGTCTCTAACACCTTACAATCTCTCACCTTGAGACTGTCTTCTTCAAATCCTCCCTTATTAGCATGGTAGCGCCGACCTTCAACTTCAAGTACCAAGGCCAATTGAAGCTATGCAAAGCTTCAACTTCTCCAAGGTTACCACCTTAGTAAACATGTCTGCTGGATTCTCACTCCCACGGATCTTCACAAGCTGCAATGCCTCTATCTCTAGAAGATGACGGATGTAGTGATACTTCAATCGAATGTGTTTGGTTCTCTTGTGAAAAGCTGAGTTGTTTGCCAAGAAGATAGCACTTTGACTGTCACTATAAAGAATGTTATTCTTGTACTCCTTCCCAAGTTCCCCAAGTAAATTCTGAAGCCACACCATCTCCTTACTTGCCTCTGTAATGGCCACATATTCTGCCTCTGTAGTAGATAATGCAACAATCTTCTGCAGCTGCGAAAGCCAAAATACTGCTGCCCCACCAAATGTAAAAACATACCCTGTGGTGCTTCTTGATCCATCCCATCAAATATAAAAACATATTTGATGCCAGATCTGCATCAACATGTCCCAGCAGCTCTACATTCTTTCCATCAAAACACAAAGCATTAGAAGCAGTTCCTTTCAAATACCTCACGATCCACTTCACAGCTTCCCAGTGTTTTTTTCCCAGGGTCTCCCATGTATCTGCTCACTACTCCCACCGCATGTGCAATGTCTGGCCTCGTGCGAACCATAGCGTACATGATGCTGCCAATTGCCGATGCGTATGGAATCTTCTGCATTTGAGCACGGTCCTCCTTCTTGATGCGGTAGACCCACTTGCAGTGCAAAGCCTTCTTTCCTCTCGGTAGTTCAACTAACCTCCAAGTATCATTGGATGTGAGAGATGCCATCTCATCATCCATTGCAAGTTTCCACTTGCCCTTGTCATCAACCCGAACTGCCTCTGCATAGGACTCCGGTTCACCACCGTCAGTAAGCAACAAATAGAAATTAGAAGGTGAATACCTATTTGGCGCTCTTTGGTTCCTAGCAGGCCGCTGCCTTGGCGGAGTTGATGGATCCTCATCACTGCTCATCTCTTCATTTTGATCCTGCTTGCTCCCACCCGAATTAGAGATATCCAGCTCTATGATCTTCGGACTTTCTTGCTCAGAATCAGATGCGCTCAATCTGTCCTTGTACAGAACGTGCTCGTTGAACACCACATCTCGACTACGAATAATCTTCCTATTCTGCTCATCCCAGAATCTGTATCCATAGTCATCACCACCATATCCAACGAACGTACACTTCACAGATTTTGCGTCTAACTTGCTTCGGTCAACGGAACTGATATGAACATAAGCAACACAACCAAATATGTGGAGATAGGACAGATTTACCTCTTTACCCGTCCACCTTTCTTCAGAAATGCCATTCTCCAACGAGATCATTGGACTTCTGTTGATGAGAAAAGCCGCGGTGTTCACTGCATCCGCCCAAAACATCTTCGGTAAGCCACTCTTCAACCTCATGCATCTAGCCCGCTCATTCAGTGTTCTGCTCATGCGTTCAGCAACGCCATTATGCTGCGGAGTCCCCTTAGTTGTCTTCTCCATACGAACCCCATTCTCAGCACATAAATTCTTTAACTCATGCAGTTTATACTCACCCCCATTATCTGACCGAAGGCACTTCAACTTCAGACCTGACTCTGTCTCAACACGAGCTTTCCACCTCCTGAAAGCATCAAAGGCATCAGATTTATTTTTGAGAAAATAAACCCACACCTTTCTTGTGGCATCATCAATAAAGGTCATGTAGTAGGCGGATCCTCCCAAGGATGTAACTTCTGCTGGTCCCCAAAGGTCGGTGTGAACTAGTTCCAGCTTCTCAGGTTTGATAGCTCGTCTTCCCTTTGAGAAACTGACACGTTTCTGTTTTCCGAATATGCAATCCTCGCATAAGCCAACCTCAACAGTCTTCAGGCCGGGCAGTTTGCCCTTCGAGCACAGCTCCTTCATCTTTTTTTCGCTCATGTGACCGAGCCGACAGTGCCACAAATTCACATCGTTTGTTGCAGCGGCAACAACATCGATGCAGTCCTTTGAGTTCGTTGTCATGTACAACGTACCCTCCTTCTTCCCCTTAGCAACCAGCAAGGCTCCCTTGGTGATCTTCCAATTTCTGCTGCCGAATGTAACTGCATAACCTTCCTCATCCAGCTGCCCAATTGAAAGAAGATTCCTCCTCAAACCAGGAATGTGTTGGACACCATTTAGTTTCAGCATGCATCCGTTCAGAGTCTTCACGTGGACTTTCCCCTTCCCGACAATTTTAAGAGGCTCATCATCAGCAAGATACACCTCTCCAAAATTGCTGGGAGTATACTGTTCCATCACTTCAGAGTTACCACATGAATGGAACGATGCTCCAGAATCCAGAACCCATGACTCCAACGGACTGCTCAAGCTCAGAATCATGAGATCATCACCCGATGATTCTGCCACTGCATTGGCAGATGTCTTCTCCTTCTGATCCTTGATCTGCTCCTTGCACTGGCTCTTGAAGTGTCCGTACTCCTCACAATTCCAGCACTTGATCTGACTTCTGTCCTTCTTGCCCTTGCTGTTTGACTTGGATTTGGATCTTGATCTATCCCGATTTGACTTTGAATTTGACTTTGTTCTGCCCCGGTTCTCTGTACTCAACGCCGATCCAGAAGCCAAACCTGATTCCTTCCTGCGAATTTCTTCGCTGACCACCAGATTTCTGACTTCATCGAATTTCAGTTTCTCCTTCCCTGCCGAAGCGCTGACTGCAGTCACCGTTCCGTTCCAGCTTTCCGGGAGAGAAGACAGCATAATTAGGGCATGAATTTCGTCGTCGAACTTGATCTCAACCGCGCTCAATTGTGTGGTGATTAAATTGAACTCGTTGAGATGCTCCACAACTCCCGTGGTTTCTGACATCTTAAGGTTAAAAAGACGCCTCATGAGATGTACCTTGTCCGCAGCAGAAGGTTTCTCATACATATCCGTTAATATTTGCAACATCTCCTTCGTCGTTTTTGCTTTGACGGTATGTAGGGCGATGTTTCTGGACAGCGACAATCGCACCACGCTCATCGCTTTCCTGTCCAGCAACTTCCAATCGCTCTCCTTCATGTCTTCCGGCTTATCCTCCAGAGGTTGATACAGATCTTAACCGTACAGGTAATCTTCGATCTGCAGCTTCCAGAAGCCGAAATCAGTCCCATCAAACTGCATCAACGGTGTCTTCAAATCTGCCATCGTGTTGAACTCTCCCTTCGAACCTAGGGCTCTTGATACCAGTTGTTAGGAATTTAACTCACAAACAAGAAGAACAATTAAAGAACACACGAAATTTGGTAACCCAGTTCGCCACAGAAGACTACGTCTGGGGGCGCTACCAATCCAGAAAATATTAATAACATTCCTGGCTTGGTAGCGCCCCCAGACGTAGTCCTCTGTGGCGAACTGGGTTACCAAATTTCGTGTGTTCTTTAATTGTTCTTCTTGTTTGTGAGTTAAATTCCTAACAGGTAGTACTTTAAGCCTCTTAGAGTAACAAGTAGAGTAAAAGAAACCATTTATAACGCAAAATTAGATTTTTTTGTAAAATAGATTGATAACGATAATTGTTTCGGTTTTTTATCTGTTTTGATCAAGTTGATGATTTTAGAGCCCGTTTATGAGCCTGAATATTCGGGTTCAGTCCGAGTTTTTTTTTTGTGTCAATTAAAAAGAAAAAATTCAGACGAGAAACATCATTTTGGATCCCGTTTTTGGGTTTGGGTCCCGTTTTTGAACAATTGAACATCTCCTTCTAATCACCTTATCCATAACATTACGTCCACTCATCAGCTTCCATCCGCCATTTATGGCAAATGTTTATCCATAACAGTCTTAAGATGTCGGCTCATTAATTTCTAGCTTCCAATGTCATGCCGGAAACCTAGCTCCATGTTTGCTGTGCTTGATAAGTCGATGCATTTTCTCATAGAAGCCTGTGATATTAGGTCTCACAATACGAAATGATAATAAAAGGACTGTTCCGGAGACGTGAAAGGTGGAACCCAGTTCACCCAACTTATGGATCTTTCTGGGGGGTTGGATTCGGAATCGGGTGCGGAGTCGGATGGGGCCCCGGGTTTGGCCCGGAAGTGATTGGTTATGTTGGATCCGGTTGCGGAGCAGGGTTTTGTATGGGAATCACTCTGCTCGGTTTTGGGATTGGCCTTCCCGCCAATTCCTTCTTCAAATCTCCTTCCAATGGTAATTGGTAAACATCTCATTCCTGAGTTTGCTCTTGTATCTACAGTAGGAAACGTTGTACATAGCTTGGTAATCTCATTTAGGGTCCGTTTGGTAAGATGTATTTGGCTGAAATGGCTAATTCTATTGATTTTTTTTAAAAGCATATACTTTTCGTAAAGGAAAAATGACTAGGGATATGATCAAAAGAGGGTGATTCCTAAAAATATGACTAGATAGCTTTTATTGCTACATTAATGGTGTTTTAGATACTCCGTCTCAAAAAAATCTTCTCAGTTTGACCTGTATCGAAGAAAGTGAGAATAAAGTGAAAATATATGGTTGTGGCTGAGTAAGAAAAAAGTAAATGAATGATAGTCACACAAATCTTTCAAAAAAGGGAAATGGGAAGAATTTTTTGGGATGATCCAAAAAGGTAAGTGGAAAGAATTTTCAGGAATGGAAGGAGTATATGATATGTATTTTTATTCTACTTTTTCTCTCTTGAATTCAATTATGACTTATATAGAGTCACCTTTAAGTTCGCAAAATAGGTTTCAGCCAATAGTGATACTGAAATGTTTTAGTTTGGACTGATCGCACTACTAGTAAAATACACATCAAACATACTTTTGCTTTGCTTAAACAATCTAGACCGAACCAACAAACTGCATACCAAATGAAAACATCTTGGATGTTAAGTGATTAGGTCTATTGTAATAATATTGTGTCTGTTTTCTTTGTAGCATCCATGGCTATAAAAGGATGTGCTTCAGATGTTTCTAAATCAAAGGGAACTGATGGTTGGATGAACATGGGTCCACTGATTTCTGATCTACGTCAGAAAATAGGAAGCAAATTTACTACATCAATGATGAAAGATTATGTGAAGAATGCCACAAATGTATCTGATATGAAAACTAAAATGTGCTTACTTACAAAGGGTTTTTTGGATCAAATGGAGGTGATCAGCAAGCATGAAAGCAAAGGTAGTACTTTAAGCCTCTTAGAGTAACAAGTAGAGTAAAAGAAAAACCCTGTGTTTATTTTATCTGGGGCAACTATGGAATGAAAAGTTTGGTTCACTTTTCCAAATTTTATGTGTGAAATGTGGGCTAAGACCTTTTAAATTCTAATTAAAAATGTGCCGTTGGGAGTTTTTTTTGTTTTTCAGAGATAGAATTTACATAAGAACTTCTTTTGCCTTCCATTCAGTAAATCAGGCCTTGCCATCAAGGATGACATAGCACTTTTTTACATATCTACTTTGAATTTTTTAACTATATCTTGAAGTATAATTGCGGGCAGCTTGTACAGTTTAAGTTTAGTTTTACCATGATTAAAGATAAAAATGTACCTGCATGAGTGCTGTGTCTTTATTTTAGTATTCCAGAAACTTGAGAAGACATGTTTTTATGCTTGTAGGTTCCACAGATTGATGGCCCGATGAAGATTGTTCAAGGTAATATTACGGGGAGACAATGGGGATAAAGACTGGCATGAGAGGTTTCTTAAAACTGATCGGCATGCTTTTGTAATTATAAGAATTACTCCCTCTGTCCCTAAAAGAAGTTCTATTTCGCTTATCGAGGGTCAACTTAAATCACTCTTAAACTCTTACTTTTTATATCAAAATTTTATAAAAGTTGAATTATTTTTTGTAGGCTTTGTAGCGGGTTTAATGTAGTTTCTGAATATGTAAATTTTATTTACTAAAAATAATCCGATTTTTCACAGGGATCATTTAACTTTATCGTCGGTCAATCTTCGTAATCCGCAATTGGAACAACATTTAGGGACGGAGGGAGTATCATTTTCCTTCAATGTAATATTGGAATTTGGAAGTACTCCCATATTCCCATCTTGTCCTTTTCAATTTACATTTTGGTTTGTATTGTGGCTTATAATGTTTGCTTTCCTTGATCAGAACTAGCCTACAGTTTCTCAAAACATATGCAGTTATAGCGTAATCTCGAAAAAGAAGTGTATTTCCGTGAGAACAATAGTTTATTTAGAGGGTGCTTGATAAGTATTGTACAATGTGTTTTATTCCCAGCTTATAGTCATCGAGCAAAACCTTTTACAAATAGGTGTGCAAAAGACTCGTTCGATAATACTAAAATTGGTTGAATCGGTTGAAATTGATGAGATTATGATTGACTTGGCTGGATGTGCTACATTTAGGGGTGGAGCCGGGCCGGTTAGGGCCCGTTCCGGGCCTAGGCCCGGTCGGGCCTGTTGTGTTTGGGGGAAGGCCCGGGACCGGTCCGCGTTGCCGCCGGGTCAGGCCGGGCCTCGGGCCAATTTCTATTTTTTTTCCTTTTCCTAATTAACCCCCGACCCCCCCCCCCCCTCACCCCCACCCCCCAAACCACCCCAAATGGCCCAGAATGCCCAGCCCCAACCCGGGTTTTAAAAAAAACTGATAAAAAAAATATATATGGCCCGAACCGGGCCTGGCCCGGCCGGTTCCTTATTTACATGACCCGAGCCCGCACCGGAAAACCCCCCAGGCCGGGCATACACGGCCCGGTCCCTGGCCGGGCCCAACAGTACCGGGCCGGTTCTGGGTCGGGCCACCCGGCCCGAGTCCACCATTGGCTACATTATAAAAAAATCATTATATGAACATATTTAATAAATTGAAATGAATTCAATTAATAAACTCTTATCATTCAAACGTCCTTTCTAGGTGAACACTTCTATAAATTTGTTCTTTCAATTTATTCTTGTGAACACTATTGATAGAATAATAAGAAAGGACGTTTATGTCAACAAAAGAACAAATTATATGAAAATAGTTAAGAATATTTTTATAGTAATTTCAAACAATTCAAGCCGAAAAGTAATCTTAATCTTACTTATTTTGATAATTACACAATTTAGCGTGTAGAGTTACATACACAATAATTGTTTAAAAAAAGGACTAAAAATGATCCTACCAAATGAGCACTATTTCTTTTTATCGAGTCAATTCTCATTTTCACTCCTTAACATCTACCAAGCATACATTTGGCATAATTGGCTTCATTGATCATTCTAAAATAGATGTGAATATGTTACATTTTAGGTTGTGAAATGGAGAGAGGCTACACTTCATCCATCACTGCTTTGTCACTTCTCACACAGGCTTCTTATATTTCTTTTTCATCCATCTCAAAAGTCCTTTTTATTTTCTTTAAGAAAACCGTTGGGTGGTGAACGTCCTTTCTTGTCAATCTAAATAAATAAAACTCAACTCTACAATTTAGTTTCTTGATAAAAGTCAAAAACAAACATGAACCTAATTTGGTTACGAAGGACAAATGACTTTCTTTGATCTATTCAAACAAATGAATTATAAGTGCACTGCATGTTTGACACAATTCAAGCAATAAAGGCATAAAGGATTCGTCCTTATTCTATAGTTGAGGTTTTATAATACGGAGTATTAAATAATATTGAAATGAAATATGTCTCACAACCAAAAAAATTTAAGGTTTTATTAGTTTGGGACAAAAAGATCAAGAAATAAGCGAATTCAGTATGCTTGGGAGAAAACAACATTTTTGGTACTTGACAAAAAGACAATAGGTCATTCGTTTATAGAAACAATCCCAGTCCGTAATTTTAAATTTTCAAATCATTTTAGCCATTACCTAAAAGATTTAATTCATCGGGTATTTTGTGCCAAATTTTATTGAGGATATGTGCTGGGAAATGGCATGGAACGGAGGAAACATCAAATTCATACGTTAGAAAATCTCAAAAAAAAAAAAAATCAACTCTTCCAGATTTGCACAACAATTCCAGTCCGTAATTCTACATTTTCAAATCATTTTAGCCATTACCTACAAGATTTAATTCATTTGGTATTTTCTGCCAAATTTTATTGAGGATATGTGCTGGAAAATGGCAAAGAACGAAGGAAACAAACTTTATAGTCCTACAGATGGACCTGGGCCAGGTCGGGCCATGCCTAGGCCCGGTCGGGCTTTTGAGGAATGGGGGAAGGCCCGGAACCAGCCCGGGTTACCACCGGATACGGGCCGGGCCGGGCGGGGCCTTGGGCTACTTACTTTTTTTTAGGCTTTTCTACGTAACCCCTGACCCCCCCCCCCTCAACCCCCACCCCCCAAAATACCCAGCCCCAACCCAAAATAAAATTGAAAAAAAAAAAAACATAACCAGGCCCGGACCGGCCAGGCCGGTAAGTCTTTTGGGTGACCCGAGCCCGCACCGTAAACCCCCCGGCTCGGGCCTACCCAGACTGGTCCCTGGCCGGGCCATCGGTTCAGGCCGGGCCCAAATAGTGCCGGGCCGGGCCCAAATAGTGCCGGGCCGGGCCGGTTCCGGGTCGATCCACCCGGCCCGACTCTATCAATACTTTATACGTTAGAAAATCCATAAAACAAACTCTTCCAGATTTGCACAAAAATTCCTAAAAGATTTTATACTTCTCAGTTTTCATTAGTCTGCTAAAATATCAAACCTTTTTTGCTCCAAATTATTCAAACTCAATTTTTTTATTTTTGTTATAAAATACTAAGGTATTTAAACATATAAAAACTTAGGTTTTTGCTACAAATAAAAACCTTTTTTATTTTAACGATCTTCCATTTGATTTTGTATTTTATGAAATAAATCAAAACAAAAGAAAACAATCCTTGGCTTCCCTATGCCATTCGCTCTTATGGTTTGAGATTTAAGATATTTTTATGGTTTGAGATTTAAGATATTTTTACTTAAATTGAATTTTTTTGATCTGATTTAATCTAAATCAGTTTGATTTGAATAATTGAATTGGTCTAATCTAGTAAATGTCTAATCTAAACTAGTTTTATTTGAAGTCGGATCTAATTGGATATGTTTAAATCTGATCTGGCTTGTTTAATCTGAGATTGATAAAGTTCAAGTAAGAACATCATCAATCTCAAATGCTCTAACCAGAAAGCATATAGATTGTTGACTGTAGCTGCCAAATTTATTACTGTTTGACTTGTAAAAATCTCAGAATGGGGCCATAAATTCCCATAATGCTAGATAGTACATGCTACACATTATTACTTCTACAAAGTACAACAACTACCTCTCAATTGAGCATAGTACAATAACTGAGAATCTTAAACCAAAGTGTGCAGAGCTAGTTGGGGGACATATTCATTTATTCTAGGGTAACAAACATGAAGAAGCCTCTCTGCATTATTGATAAATCAAGGATTCAGAGGTACGATCCTATAGAACAGATCCTGTTCAAGTAAGGTCGTAGCCTCTCTGCATTATTATTTCTTAGACATGCTTAAAGTTTTGCTGTTGGATCGTGGTAATTCAACCGTACATAAAATGCAACTGGTTGATGACTCCTTCACATCTAGCATCTGCAATCCATTGAAACAAGTTGTAGGTCAAAAATTTTAAGTTCAAGCCTTTATGGGTCCCGCTTTGCAAACAAAACAAGAAGGAAGCCATAAAGGCAAATTGGAAGCAAATAAAAAGGGAAAATAAATTCAGATAGATAAACTTCATAGTGAGGACTGTGAACCAAAAAAATTAAAAAGGAAGGAAAAAAGCTAGCCATACAACTATTTTCTTAGAAGGATTTGAAGTTTATTGCTGAGACAGCCAAAAATGGAAATAGCGGAGTTTATATGGGATGAATGGATTATTTATTTAACTAGTGCTCATTTTATTTATTTATTTTATTTCTACTATATACAGATTAAGAAATCTAAATATACGGAGTACAATATATGTAGAATTTAAAAGAATTTGTTTTGCAATTTCCTTAGGTAAAACCAAGCCCGAGAAAAAACTGTTTTATCATTTTCTTTCCTTTCTCTGGCATTTTCCAGGATCCAAACATACCCAATGTCAATTATCACATGAAAAATAGGATGGTGTTAGGAGCATTGCTTAATACTCACAATTCAGGAACTGGCATTTCGTGAAGAAAAATCACGGGTGGTCATCGGAATGGACATGGAGAGCTGCGTTGTGTTTGACCCATCACTGTCAAGATTGGACCATGATTCCTTGGTTGCAGGCCATTCACTGAAGAAAGGGCGGACAGACTGCTGCTCCTGCTTTAATGTCCCCCTGGGAGAATCAATCAGAGGCTCATAAGCACCAGACAGATGCATTTGAGGTGACGAACTACCCAACAGCAGAGAATCATTTTTCAGTTTCAACATGGGACTAGAGGATGATACTTGGAATGGCACTGAGTGCCATGCATTATTATCAACTCCAGACCCCATCCCCAGACTCCCTGCAGATGTTTCCCTTGACAGATTGTGTTCGTTTGCATTGGGATTCATTCCAGTGTTATACCTGTGTTTTGAATGTACATACAGAAACATATTATTAATGTTGCATAGTTACAGGCTTTCTAACTATCAAGCCAAGCATCAATCCAAATAAAGGTCCAAATATTCTCTTTCATTTACTACTCTCTCTTTTAAAATGCCTTCTACTTCTTGATAGGTTTTGACCTAACCTTCCTGAACATGAAGGAAAGAAGTAACTTCGTCAAAATTACTCAAGGATAAACAGAAGTAACACAGGGTGAGAAGGCACAATAAGTTGCGAGTAACTATTACTTAAACTGATGAGATTGAACTAGTGGTCTAGTACTGGTCTTCTAGAGAGTAGGGACAATAAATCGCATTCATATTTATTATGCAAGTGTGGTCAGAGATTGGATTTATTCATCAATATCATAGTACATGTGTTATGGACATCTGGTGGTTAGTAACGAGCTCGTTGATTGGGGCCTAGCTGAAGAGCTCCTCTTTCATAAGTAGGCATATATGTATTATGTTATTACAACCCTGCCACTTTCTGAGTCAATAAGTTGTGGATGAGAGGAACTACGCATCAACCACACAATTCTTTCCGTGATAGTAAATGAATATATGGGGAGCCCAAACAAGAAAGTGGAAAGTTTGTTTGGGACAGAGGAAGCACCAATTATGCAGACAACATAACAACTTTCATTTACAAAACATATTTTTTTCTTATAACTTTTCGGTTAACCTAATCCCAATTAACTGCAGGTTATTCTGAATGCCATAACTATTCCAATAAGTCAATAACCAATTATTATCTTTAATCAGCCAACTGTACCAAAAAAATTTAGATGTTAGCACGGGTAAGGTTAAGTGGTTTAGCAAAAAAAACTGTATTTTGGTTTTATATTGCCTAGTCAACTGAGCAGTTGAGTACCCGATCATGTTGCAAGTTTATTTCAGTGAACCTTTTTTTATATCAAAAACACACTTGATCTTTAGCCTCTACTTCATCCGTCCCAGTAAAAGTACCATGTTTTGTTTGGGAAATGAAGATAGGTTATTAAGATATTGATCAAATACCCATATTTCCAAAACGCCCAAACAGTAACAAAAAGAAAGCACACAAATGTAATTATGAGGAAAAGCTGTCAAATAAGCTCTCTTAATATAGCCAAATTGGCAATTATGCCCTATGCTAAAAAACACTCAATCAAACACACCAACGACAAAAAACACTCTATTTCCTGCCCTATTACATGTCCAGTCATGTACTGTTATTCTGCTTAGCCTTTTGCAGCATTGATCAGCTGACTTTTTTACTCTCAGACTTCCCTTTTTTACATTTTGCAAGTGGATAGTGAAAAAACATATCTAACTCCTGATATTACTTACTTGTTACTAAAAGAATTACCAGTCCATATATAAGTTAGTTCAGTTGAAGAAGTCACTAACCATCTTCAAGAATTACAGTTGTGGGTGACTGAATAATTGTAAAGGATCGACAACTCATAGGACTAAGAGGATCCACATCACACAACCAATAAAAATCTGAAAAAATACAATTTGCAAAGGGAGAACTTTCCAGTTAAGGTTTCCCATCCTCACTGAAGTGAAAGAGCTATGGCACCAATCATAACTGGAAACTATTGTAATGCTACAAAGGGAGTATATCTAACTTGCCCTTTACACGTTAAAAGAGTTGTATAAAATTTAATAGACTCATAATAATAATATCATTAAAGAAGAACAAGTTATCAACAAAAACATAAGACTGTTCCATTCCTTCTATTTTAAATGTTTTAAATGCTCCCTCCGACCTTAAAGTGTTATGTTTGAAATACTAAACCAGTATTGCATGCATAACTCTTTTTGGGATAGATATAATAATAACAATAACAATAACAATAAGAACAATAAATCTGTCCCATGGAGTTTGGCACAACTAAAGGAAAAATGTGATTGTGTGTTTGATATTGAACTTCTAAAAGTAAGCATAATTGTGAACCACAAAATATGGCCACAATTGGTACGAGACAAACATTTTTACAGTCTAATAATGAAACATGACAAACAAATGGGATGGAGGGAGTAATAAATATTCCGTACATAAAATATAAACTTAAAAGAAAGGAATGAAGGGATTTACAGACCAGAATTCCTTGCTCTCTCTTCCATATGCAGCACAATCCATCTGCAACTTAGTTGCAGGGCTTCCATAGCACAAACCTTCGGAGTTGGCAATGGGATATGGGGATATGTTATGGAAGCTCCGGTCAGTACTTTGAAAACTTCCACTCGTACTATTACTGCTCCCAGAAGTGATATGTGACGTAGCAGTCGACAATGGCTGGGAAGCAGTAGATTGAGATTCCACAGGCTTTCTTGAACGGTTGCGGCCTCTGTGCATGTGCCGCTCACAGTATTTGGAGTCCGGATATGCATCCTTTGAGCACCTCCATTTCTTTCCATCTGTCCTTCTGCACCTTCCTGGCTCAGGATCAAATTTCTTCCCATAATAGGAACAGTAACCCACTGTACATGAAAACAATGCATAAGCATCACATCCACAACAAGAGAGTATGAGTGTTTGGGATGACTTCTTTTCGATGAACACGTTAGTTTAGGGAAAGAAAAGTACTTTAATGGATGTAGTGCTTCAAAGTGTAGAAAAAGGAAAAACTTTTATTAATGCACTCAAGGAAACAGGGCGCGTTGGTGCTTCGTGAAAATAGAAATTTAAGTTCTTATATAAGAAATCACCCTTGACAAAAAGCTTGTACCATACATTATTCCTAAGAGGCTCATATGTACAAGTACAACCCCACTTAGAAACCCCAAAAGAAGAAACCGAGTTGTCATTTTCAATCATTCCATATAAAACATGAGGGTTATTATCAAATATAGGCATCTCTTCAACTACACCTTTATAAATATTACTACAGAGAACCAGAGATTGAAGTTGAATGACCATTGTAGTTAGATTGCAAGTCTAAAACTAATCAAAACATTGAATCAAACGCATACTATATAATAACAAGAGGACACGATCTTGGAAATCACATGAAAATATGAATGTATACATACATTAAATGATACAGTTGAACTAAAATCTACTAGTAATATACTTTCCTTTCATCTCAAGTTTTATTTTTTCCATCTATCACACAAAAAAAGCTCTTTTAGTATATGATTGATGAAATTGCAATACTCAATCAGCTGTCGAGATGAAACAACTTAGCAAATTACACAAGAAAGCTGATCTACTAGGATAGTAAGACTACTTCAAACAAATAAGTAACAGTACAAAGATCAGTTACTCCCCAATGGAAAAAAAAATTGATCTTTCATATGTATGTATGTTCCAAACAATGAGATTCTCTTTTTACTAAGCTACACAAACTCCTACAACCAAATGAATCTAGAGACAGTCTGCAAATAACAAGAGAAACAAAGAAGAGACTTATGCAAGTTTGTCGATTGATAAAAAGGTGAGGATAGCGACATACAGCTGGGATGATGGAAGAGACGAGAAGACAAAGCTTCGAAGCTTCGACGAATGGGGACAACCAAGTCTGAGGGCACTGGGACACCCGCGACCAGATACTTGTAAATCATAGCTTGGTGTTCCAGCTCCTGCCACTGCACCGCCGTGAACGGCGGCCGGTAACCGTACCCATACCCCATACCCACCCCTATGCCACCCCCCGACACCGATGTCGAAGTACCACTCATTTCCACCCACCCCACCCCACCCCACTTCCTACCTCTGTAACAACAACCAAGAAAAATCTCAACTTTATCCCTCTCCTTGCTACTTCAAGCTAGAAAAAGCTGCAAGAAAAGATGTATAAGAAGATATGAATCGTCAATACAGTAGTAGTAGATACAGATAAATAACGGTATGTAGGGAGATAGAGGGAAAGTGTGATTGTAGTCAATGATTGTTGGGTACATTACTTACTTCTACTACCTAAGAGGGGGACAGATCTAGGGTTTGGACAAACATGGAAGGGGGAGCAGAGAGAAAAGCTGTGTGGAAAGTGAAAGTGAAAGAGAGTTTAGCTATGCTGTGAGAGAATGATAGTTAAAGAGGGAGTTTATGCTCTCTTGGTACTATCCTCATGTGTCTCTCTCACAAACCACACTTTTTATGAGGGTAATAATCATTGAGAGTTGTCTTATGTATTTTGATTCCAAACTAAAACATTCTTTATAGTTAAGTATAGTTTTTGTCCCTCAAAACTTTGACTAGTTTAATTAGCAAGCAAAATGAAAAGATAACATTGTGTAGTTGATATTTGTATAAGGGAAAGAAAAATAACATGAATTTCAAGTTCATTGTTTAAAAGGAAAAAGTGACAATTTTTTTGGATATCCATAGAAGAAAAGAATGACAATGTCACAAGGGACAGACACTTAAATACAATAGTTTGAGAAGTAGTTTAAATCGATTTATACTACATCCGTTCCGCTAACCATGAGTAGGTGATACAGTTATCAAGGAAAATGAGTTGTTTTGGTTGAGATTTGATAAAATAAGAATGATGTAAGAATAATTTAGAATCTTTCAAAATTAATTGAATTTGTCATAAGAGAATTTTAATTAGGACAAAATGAAAAAGAAATACGCAGTATGAGATAATATTAGTGGAACGAGATGAGTAATAGGGAGTATGTCATAGGTAATGAGATAAATGGTGTTATTGTGTTATGTATGTATTAATTGTAATGTGCGGGGAGAATATAGTCATTATGTGATTGATTCATAAAGCTTTTAAGGAAGATCTATGCATTGGTAATTGAGAAGGAATATTTATGTGAGAAGAAGTTGGATTAAGATTGGGTGGGTTAAGGGATAAACCAATTTTAAGGTGTTGGGTTAAGGGGAGCATTGGGACATGGAAGGAAGAGTGGTGGGGAGAGTAAATCAATGTCTTATGTGGTCCAGTGTCCATTGATGCATGCAACACCTCATCCCATCATATGCATTATTATTATTATTTTATTATTATATATTATTTTATTATAAAATAAAGAATAAAATAAAATGGTCCATTTAAGAATAGCATCCGATCCATTCCCATCCTTTACGGTTCAATAATAATGCGTAGCTGGGTGAATTGTCACACAGGCATAGGGTGCGCGGGCGGGCACAAACGGTGGGAATTTAGCCATCTGGACTTGCTCGATCATATCCGAAGTTTATTTCCAACGTCAAAAATAGTACTCCTTCCTGCCTCTCGCAAATTATATCGTGCAACCGGCGCACCATGACCATGAGGATGGTGTGCCCGGTTGCAAAACGACGGAGTATTGAGGCCTGATTTCTTGATTTTTTATCCTTTTATTTTTAAAAAATGGTAATAACTCTTTTATTTTTGATCCGATTTTTATAAAATTTATATCAACATTTTTTATTTTTCATGATCTTTCAAATGAGACCAATATTGCTTATGTAATTTTAAGAAATTATCGAACTATTATATTAATGTTTATTGGATTATAAGGAAAACCAAACTAAATTTAATACAGAAAAATAATTGTGTAAATCACAAATTATCTTAAAATTGTGTATATAAAAAATTTATTGTATTAGGTATTTATACATGTGAGTTACATATTTTTATATGTGAAGTTACATATTTTTACACGTAAAGTTACATATTTCTACACGCGAGTTACATATATATACACACAAGTTGCATTTGACTTGCCTGAACGCGAGTTACATATATTTACACGTAGAGTTACATATTTTTACACGTAAAGTTACATATTTATACACGCGAGTTACATATTTATACACACGAGTTGCATTTGACCTGTCTGAACGCGAGTTACATATTTTTTTTTAAGTAAATTTACATATTTTTACATGTAGATTTACATATTTATACACACGAGTTGCATTTGGCCTGACTGGACGTGAGTTACATATTTCTACACGCAAAATTACATATTTTACATAGGTTAAAATTACATAGGCAATATTGGTCTCATTTGAAAGATCATGAAAAATAAAAAATGTTGGTATAAATTTTATAAAAATCGGATCAAAAATAAAAAAGTTATTACCATTTTAAAAAAAAGAGAAATAAAGAATAAAGATCCGGTGCTTGCCAAATACGCTGCTTGCCAAAAACCGTATGCCGGTATACAATGCTCACCGTATACCGGTCATACGGTATAACAACTGCCTGCCTCCTGGCCTATATTACGTGCGGATTCGTTTTTCGATTTTTATCTACTTCGATTCCATTTATATTTCAAAACAAATCACCGTTCGATTTGATTTCAATTTGGTTTTTGACATGAATATATTATTTTTTGATCGAAGGGTGCTTATATCATTAAAATAGCATTCAGCAGGGTAAAAGAACGTAAAAGGACCACATGTAACCATTCGCCCTTGCTCGAGACTCTGAGTTAATCACCTTTGACAAAGCAATATGACTCGTTAGACCTAACTTGGGCAAATTAAAGCTAACGACGATTACCACAGGCCTTTCAGCCCCCAAACCTAATGCAAAAGTTTTACAGCAAAAGAAACAGTAAAAAAAACATGACAGTCTGACAATGATAAAAACAACAAAAACAAACAATAAAATAACAACCAGCACACAGGAAAACGAGTTTAGACCTGCCGCCACATGCGGTGGTTCAGGAGGAGGCCGTACCCTTGGAACCACACGAATTGATCCTCCATTGTCAATCGAAACCTGGCCTACTCAAAGCCCGTTCAACACTCCTCATCCCACGTACAAGTCGGCTATGTTCTCCATCGGTCCCCCTTCGTGCTCACGTTCTTCCTTGTACATCCTGCAGAAATTCTGCAAAAAACGTCCGCTGCTCTTCTCCTGCGGCGAATCAAAATAGCAGTTGCAATCAGAATTAAACAAAAACCCAAGCAAAGCCGACTTCGCCTGACAGGGAGATCCCTTACCTTCGTTCTTCCTCCCCCGAATAAGACAAGCAGGTCCACCGAACCCTTCTGTTGGTCCCGGTTATGCAAGGAACAGTTTAGAGGGGGGGTGAATAGGCGGTTCTGGTTTTTAACTTTTTCAAGCTAAGTACCAAAGTTAACAGAATAGTTTGTTCTGTTGAAGAACAGACTGGCAGTGGATGGTCTTCTTGTAGGTGTTCTATCCGGTTAGCCTCATAGAGGTGCAAAGCCAATAGGCCTTCTGTTAACTCTTAAGACTTGTTCTGCTGAACACAGAGACCAGGTCTTTTGGAGTTAAGCAGTATAAAGATAAATGCAAGAATTAAAAGTGCAGTAAGTAAGTGACACGGAGGATTTTCATAGTGGTTCCAGGAACAACTCGTTCCTATAGTCCACTGTTCCACTAAGCTTGTAAAAGACACAATTACACGGCCTTAGTCCTAGCACTTAAGAAGCTTTCCACGTCTTCTTCAAGTGTAGATGTCTCCTGAGATGCACTTCCTTGCTTCCTTTAAAACTGGTCTTGTTTCACTGAGTTTCCTTGAAGTATCCCCACTTCACTACTCCAGTTACTTTAAGACGCCCTTCTTTAGAAGAAGATTGTTTAGCACATGATTTTCTCCAACTTGCTTTGTCACAAAAGATATGTAGTTGAGGTGTTTGAAGTGTTGAAGAACTGTAGGAACTTTGCTCTAGGTTGGATATGGAAGATGTGGAAAAAATATCTTTTCCAACGTAAGCTTTTCTTGTTGAGGAAGATGAAATTCAGACCTCAAGAAAGCTTTTTGAATGTTCGTAGAGAGAGCAAAAGTTGTGTGAGTAGTTCTTCATGGTGTATCTTGTATACTAGAGTTGTCTTCCCGTTGGAGGAAGAAGACAGCTGCATTAAATGTGCGTACTGTAGATTTGACTGGTTGGTTCCAAAAGCAGACGGCTTGCCATTTTTTAGCGCATAAAGATATTCTTTTTAGATCCTTGGTCAATCATCAGTTTTAAATATCTCAACGTGTGAAGCACATTAAATGGGCATTTAATGCGCATACTATAGCTTTCCCGTTGGGCATTTAATGGGCATTTAAATACATGCAAGGTTGTCCCTTCCATCACAACCACATACGCTGCCGTCACATTAATTGTGAGTTTTCTCGAACTTAAAATATGTAGTAGTAGAGGGTAAAAGTACGAGTATCGTCTCCACAGGGACGGAAAAAGGGAATCAGGAATTAACTAAATTCAACGATTAAAATAAATAAATAAAATGCAATTGTGCGAGATTGGATTGGTTGGAAAATTAAAATCCGACGATTAAAATAACTTGGTTTTTTCTAATTAATGACGATATGAAACATGGATTGATTCCGGGGTAATCGGATTTCTGGCTGATCGCGCTTAATCACATGAAGATTATTTAATTGAGCAACACAAATCAATACTAAGTTCTTACCGCTCTCGCGGCGTAGAGTACTATAGTTTAGGGAATCAAGTTGATCTCCCATGCGACAGTTTTCTAAATTATTGCCAAAACAAACGAGTGTACGGACCCTTAACTGTTACTAATCTCTTAGCATACGATTAAGTGTGTGTGAAATGACCCAGAATAAATTAGATATCTCTTAATATATTCTAGGGAAAACTGTCAAATAGGTCCCCGTACTATATCAAAAAAAGTCAATTGAGTCCTCCTACTATTAAATCACTCAATTAAATCCCCCAACTATCAAAAAAACATTCAATTTGGCATTTCAACCGGGAATCAACCGGTAAAGAGGTTAGGCCGATCCACGTGGACATATTTTACATTTTTCATTTATTTTACTTTCTTCTTTTCTTTACCGTTCTCTGCCGTCAGGCTCTGGCCCCCTTCCGCCCAAGCCCCAACCAGCAACATTGTTTCTTTTTCTTCATTCCACGCCATCCAATCCAGAGAAGCTAGCTATTCCTCATATCAGAACTTCAATTCAGTGAGTGCAGAAGAGGGCGAGGGCTGTAAAGGACGGCGTGGAGGCAGGGGCTTCTGCGATGTCACCGGAAAACCTAGGTATGGATGCTGCGAAATCGCCAGATATCTCGGACCTTCTCCCACCGAAGGTTGTTGAAGTTTATCATCGAGTTTGTTCAGTTGGTTTACACATACATAGTAAATTAGTAATTAAATACTACCTCCATCTTTCTTCTTCAGCCAAGAAACCAACTGGACACATGACCCCTCTTTCCCTCATTTCTTCTGCAAACCCACCCAACACACAACTGACAACACCGACCATTGCCTTTCTCTGTGGACGACGGACTGTCGGTGGATGGCGGCGGATGATCACTAAGACAAACTCGGCAGTGAACTTGCAGGTTCGTTGGAGAACTTCAACTACGTACCTCCGGTGGCAGAAGGCCCAAGACTTCCGGTGATTTCGCAGCACCCATACCCCTGTTTCTCTTCGACATTGGAGCAGCCCCTGCCCAATGTCCTCTTCTGTACCCACTGAAATTCCTAATATGAGGAATGACAAGCATCTCTTGATTGGATAGGGTGGATTGAAGAAAAAGAAAAGATGTTGCAGGCTTGGGGCTTTGGCGGAAGAAGACGTACAGCCCGAGCCAACAAAAGAGAAGGTGGAAAGAAAGAAAAAAATGAAAAAGTGTACTACACGTAGTAAAATACTAAAATCTGGCACGTGGATCAGCCACATGGGTATGTTAACCTCTTTACTGGTTGTTTCCGGTTGAAATATCAAATTGACTTTTTTTAATAGTTGGAGGATTTAATTGAATGATATAATAGTACAAGGACCTAATTGACTTTTTTGATATAGTACGGGGACCTATCATAATCCTAACAGCAGTTCTAGGTTACAGGAGATATCAATTAAATCATCCAAACACAAATTAAATAAAATGCATGCAATTAATCCATCATGAAATTAACCCTATATCATTATCAACCCCGTCGTCTATCCCAAATCTCTAATTAAAACTACTCATAATTCATAATTGCATCAACAATAGAATTGAGATGAAAAGAATCATTTGTCATTAACTAAAAAGTTGGAACTTACAAATAATCTCAGGGTCTTGAATAACAAAAGCGAAAAAATACGTAAAAACGCGTCCTAGGTCTCTCTTTAAGCTCCGTAACCCGAAAACAGAGGTTTAGGGGCGATATTTATAGAAAACAGTCAAATTCGGGCTAGATTAGGACTGCATGAGGCACACATGGCGCCCACGTGATAAGCGTTTTATTAACGTGTTTTATATATTCATCTTAAAACGCTTTTATGCTTAAAAAGAATACAATCTTCACGCATATGCCTCGTTTTGCTAGAAGTGCTTTAAATCGACGATTGGACCAAATATGGGGATAATAGAATACACACGAAGAAATCGACGGAAAAAGGTCAATCAAACACATCCCGAGGAACAAACAAAGCCTACAAAACTGCACAAGGGAAACAAAAGGCGCCCGACCATTGCAAAGGCCGGCCGACTTTTACCCCCAAGCACATTTTCCTCGTCCAAAGAGAAGAAAAGGCGCCCGGAGCAAGAAAGAACGAAAGCCGCCCAACTTTCGTGAAAGGCGGCCAACTTTCGCCGTCGCGGGATTAATTCAGAAAAATAAACCAAAAGCCGCCCGACTTTTGGTGAAGACCGGCCGGCTTTCGGCCCCTGGAGCGGAGAAGCAGCATTTTAAATGCGCGAAAGCCGCCCGTCTTTTGAGAATGTTGCCCGGCTTTCGTCTGGGACTGATTAAAACAAGCAACAGTCATCACAATCATTCGGAGAGAACACCAAATTCAATTAAGGAGCTTGCTTCCTTGTCCAAAATGGCCGTTGAGAGCTCCTTGTTTAAGTGTTTTGAAGCCCTCTCAATAGATTATTCCATATTCCATATACTTTTCTTCCATTTTAGCATTCCAAGATCAACCCCTTGGTCTTGGGAGAAGTTCTACACTTGGGGATTCCATTGTCCACCATAGCTTTGGAGTTGGGGTACTACTTTCTTATGTATTTCATTGTATTTCATCATTTCAATACTTGTAATTTCATTATGAATTGCTCTAGCTAATTTTCCATAGCCAAGGTTAGGGATGGAACTTTACGCACTCTAGGTGTTTGATGTATGTTCTCAACCAAATTATTATGATCTTTCCTTTATATTTTAATGTGTATGACTATGGTGTACAACATATGATTATATCGTTGGGTTTATTTGAGCAATTAACGTTGAATTATAAACCGTGCACTTAAAGGATAAACATATTCTAATTGTGGATAGAAATATACCTCAATTGAATATGGTGGTTTTAATAATGTCCTAATCTTCAATTTTAGATGAGTGTGAACCGTGACGGGATTCACACGTAGGATTAATCACAATCTCGCTGCCGTAACAGGAGTTAGAATACTTTAGCGACATTCCACTCATAAGAATTGGTGAAAGAATATACATTAATCGTTAGGAGTCGTTTAGGAGTAATCCCGAACCCTTGGTTGCTTTTATTATCACTTGAAAAAATATATATATACTCTTTTACTAAGTCTTTTACAAATTTTATTCTCAACTTTTGAATCATATAAACAACGTTTCCTCGTGTTCGACTCAGTATTTTTTACCGGATTTTATTACTACATTGGCACTTGTACACTTGCAAGTTATAGCTGATCACCACGCACGGCGTGTGCGGCGTCCGGAGCAAACCGCGTGAAATATTGCCATGCATGGCGTGCGCCCCTGCCACGCAGGGCCTACGCGGCTGCCAGTAGCTCCTTCGAATTTTTTCTCCCCGAGCACGGTGTGCCTTCGTGCACACACGGCGTGTGCGCGAAATTGAACTTTGCCAAGCAGCTACTGCCACGCATGCACGTCGTGCGTCCTCGTCACGCACGGCGTGCGTGGCCTAGAATCTACAATTTCTTCGATTTCTTTCTCTTTAAATTCCCGTTTGGTCCCACGATCAATCACAGAGCTCTTTTGTCTTGAAATCTTCATCGTAAACCTCCGTTGACCTCCAAAGCTCTTAATTCACTCTCAAATGCTTCTCGACTCGCCCGATTGCTTCTCAAGCATCGGTGTCAGGCTTAAATTCCCTGATCTTGACTCCAAAAATATACCAAACACGAACCAATGCCCGGTAAAATATGACTTGAGCTAATTATGAGACTTATGACACCTTTAAGATAGGAAAATCATTAAAAGCCGATCTCAACACGCATCAAATGCGAGTCGAAATACAGACTTATCACACATTCTTTCTAGGCGGGATACAATTTGATTTGAACTGCTGCTCAACCCTGGCAATACAAACGATGGGAGCATCCCTGTCAAAACAAGGGCAGGGAGCAACAAATGTGCCTCACTCCTCTAGCTAGAAACAGGGACGCTACCGCTTTATCCCGTGAAGCAGACGCCCATATGGTATGAGTGCATTCGAGAGTGTAGCCAAGGAGGCTGCGATCTCCGCCAATTGAGCACCCTGCTCGCCCAATTTCTAGTTCATCAAGACCTGTTCGGCCTCCACCTTCGTCAAACGCTCGGTAGTTGATCTTTTCATTCCAGAGGGAACGAGATCCAGCAAGTCAGACCAATTGATAAGAACACAAAACTAATAATCAATGAGAGAAACTGTTGCCATAAGTCACCAGCCTAAAATCCAACTTATTAACTGTTAAACTATAGTGGACCTTAGTAAGGGGTTTAGTTACCTATCTACTAATTCCAAACTAGGAAACATAATCATAGAAGTCTTAATTAACTCCAAATAGGAAACAAAATAATAGAAATCCTAATTAATTCCAAATAAGAAACACGTAAGGAAAATTATAAAGAATATGGCCCGCAACAAGCCCACAAAGGTGGGATCAAGCCCGTTCCCACCTTCGGTAAACCCACATGGGCCTCAACCTCTCTTCCTCCAAGCCGAGCTTCTGCTCTATATCAATCTTATTTTGGAAATATACCTGCATAGATACTCTCATTTATGCTTGTTGGGTCGCGGGTATGCAATGCCATCAATTATGCCAGCCTGCTGATACAATCGACTGTCGTGCTACACCTATTCTACAAGGGGGATACATGGGTTACACTATCAGCTATTGTTTTAAGTGTAGCGGTAATCACATCAATACTATAAGTGGTATCAGGGAATAGGTCACGAGTATGCGGTGTCAGCAATTCTGTCAGCTTGTTGTTGCAATCGACCGTAGCTCTTCACTTTGTCTATAAAGGGGATGTGTGCTACACTATTAACGATTGCATTTAGTGTAGCGGTAAGCGCATCAATTCTACAATGCATATGTCTATATTGTATTTCTATTTAGACATGTTTAGGGAATGATTTTTTTTTCAAGATCTCTTGAATTGAAAAAATGATAAGGTATACGAAGTAAACTTGTTGCTCTTACAATCACTAGACGACTCCCTAAGCTTTTATGAGTACATCACTATCTATGAACTCATTAACATATATGATTGCGGGATCTTACTGAATCTTTCTTAAATTTGTTTTTTATTGGAAAACTATCAACTACACCCTCGTATTATATCAAAAAAATTCAATTAGGTTATCGAATTATTGAAACATTCAATTAAGCCCACTGATTTTAGAAAAACGCTCGAATGGTTAATTTAGCAGGATAAGTCCTAACTAACCAGCTACTATGTTTATGTGGTCGGCGATCCACACGTTTGTTTTTAAATTCTTTCCCCCTTTTTTCTTTCTCCCCTTGCTCCTCCTCCTCCTCCTCCTTAAGTGAGAAACATTAATGATAAGGGGAACAGTAGAACCAACAACGGGAGGAGGGCGACTAAGCTCTTCAACTTCCACCCTTTCTGTGACGTTGTTGGTGCCTGCCTTCGTCTCTTCAACAAAGCTCGTCGGTTACGTCCTATCTTTCGCGATCGCCTTCTTTGGTGCATTTAAAATCGAATGACGACGATGATAATTTGCTCGGGATGGTGACCAAGGATGGCTACGACCAATGTGCTCGAGCGCGAGAGAAGAAAGTAGAAGGAGATGGAGGAAACATAGATGGTGGAAGAAGAAAGAAGCAAATGGATAAAAGAAAGGGGTGGAAGAGAAATGAGGATAAAAAGGGCGGAGAAAGGGACGGGAGAAGAAAGAAGTATGGGGAGAGAAAGGGGTGGAAGAAGAAAGTATCAGGGAGAGACAAGGGAAAAAGAATGAAAAATAAAAAGAAAATATAAAATGTCACTTGAACTACCACATCAGTAGAGTAGACGTTAACCGGGACTTAATTTGCTATTTGTCAAATCAAACATTCGAGCGAGCATTTTTCTAGAGTTTTTGGTCCTAATTGAGCACTTTTAAGTTTGAGAGTTTTGTTGGCTTTTAGATATACTATGAGGGCTAATTGAACAATATGTTTTTTCATTTTGTAATCATTATTAGATTTTGTTGCGGTTCCCCCCAAACGGGGTGCATATATTGACAAGGATCAAAATGGGTCAATTTTGCCAATTTTATTTGAGACTCATCTAGATTGAAGCATCTTTATTTCAACGGCCTAGATTCAGGCCCTATATAATTGTTGGTTCTTGTCTCAGTCACATATCAGACGGTTAAGTGGGAGAATTGTGTTCTTTAAAGTGAAATAAATTACGGATAAAATTATTCGATTTCGATCATGTACAAGGTAGCTATAATTAGATACCCCCTATACTGTTTTTAAAAGTCAAGCAAAAAAAGATGAACCTAGTTCCAACTCTGAAAGGGACCATGGCTAACTCTTTACGGAAGACAATTAAATTTGCTTGCCATAGCTTGGAATGTCACCACATCTGGCTCAAATGAAGTCCACATTCAGTATTCCTCCCATTTAAATTTACCGAATC